TTTAATGTATTGTAAGTTGTAAGGGTATTTGTAATGTTAGGTAGATAGTACATTTACTAAAAAAAGAAATAGATTAATCTTAGATAGAGTAAAGTTCATAACCAACCATTAGCACGTCTAGTGGAACACCGTTTGAATTTACACGCACTTTTATTGTGGAAAAATTGTGAGAATGAAGAACACCGTAGGTAAAAACAACAACATTAGGCTCGGATAATACTCAAGCCGGTAGTTCTGGAGGTTGTGGGAGTAACAAGCAAAATTAACTTTCAGAGTTGTCCATGACAAGGATGTCTAGCAGGCCAAAACAATGGTCGTGATAATCCAAAGAGAGGTTAACCAATGTTTCCATGTTGCAATTGGAGATGTGGCCTACAAAATATCCCGCTAGCTGATGGATGCTTTGAGGTCAACTATTCAAAATGACCTGCTTAAGACTCGAGAAGAAGAATGAAGAGCCTCTTCTAGAAGGAATAATAGATGGAATTATAGTCAGGCCGTGGGAGCAAAACCCATGGCCTAAGAAAGTATGTAACGGCCAAGAGGAGCACTATTAGGAAATAGCCATGGGACAAACTTGAAGTGTGGATCTGCTCGCTAGAGTGCTATTTGGAGTGAAGAACGGCTTCGTGGTCAGTCCAATCTACAATGTGGCCATCTTGGAATATTGAAAAGGCCACACTTCAAGGAAGAGTTGGATGATAATTCCTTACCTCAGGCCATCTGTTTGGGATTGGCTCTTCTTAGAGAACAAGGATAGATTCACACTCTCTCATCGTTTTTGAAATCTTGGCCAAGAGTATTAGGCGGGTGTTCCCTAAGATCAAATTCAAAGAGGAACCTATTTATCAAAAGCTCCATCCATCTTGGGTACTGAAATGTATTGCCATCCAAAGTAAGACTTTCAGAGTTCACCTTGTTCTCAGGTGATGATGGGAAGTCCATGGTTGAGCATATAAACAAATTCACAGTCCAATGTGGAGATTTGGACATTAATTAATGACTGGTATAATATATGATAATTGTTGAGATAGTTTAGATATTTAGTTTTAGATTTAGTAGATTTATATTTAAATTTGGTCTTATCTATATATTAGGTTACTTATATTTGAGTCTATCGAGTCAGCATAGTATTGCCTATATACAGACCCCTTGTTTTGATGATCAATAAGAAAATTTTATTATTTCCCCCAAAATTTCTAACATGGTATCGGAGCCTATTTTTCTCCTGCTGTAGATATAGCCTACCAACCCGCGTTTCTCCGGATACATTCAACCTGAGATGTACCCAGAGGTCTCCCAAGTTTGAAATTTTTACTATAGTTTCTAGTCCTTTCTTTTTTCTGATTCTGATTTTGTCTTCGATTGAAGTCATGTCTGCGCATATGTCTGCGATTCTGCGATCTATCTGCTGGGTTTCTTCAGAGCCATGTTTCTGATTGCAATGAGAGTCATGTTATATCCGACTTCGTGGAGAGTACTCCTATCGTTTTCGGCTCCAATAGCGAGTCATGCCGTTTTTTGCTCCAGTAGAGAGTCATGTCGTTTTCGATTCTAATTCAATTGAGAGCATTGCTTTTTGCTTTGACACGGTAGAGCGGTGGCGGCAATGAGAGACAAGCAACTGTTATTTTTATTTGTTTATGTATTCAACTTTCTTATCAAACTCAAGTTGGTTTCTGTTATACCACTTGAGTTTGAGAGAGATGTTGATATATTTTAGATATTCAGTTTTAGATTTAGTATATTTATATTTAGATTTGGTCTTATCCATATATTAAATTACTTAGATTTGAGTCTATCGAGTCTGCATTGTATTGTCTATATAGGCACTTTATTTTAATGATCAATAAGACAATTTCATTATTTTCCCTAAAATTTCTAACAATAATAATATATATATAACACATATTGTGAATGATATCATCGCATACTATATGTCATCATAAACACAAATATAATGTATGAACTTGTATGAACTTATAATACATGCTAATAAAGTACACAACATGTTTTTAATTCGAGTTATGTGTTATTTGTACTATTATAATACATTGATTATAACTAATCAGTAATGATGCCTATTAAACCAGATAAATTCCTAATTTTAAATATTCGATTTGATATAAATAATTATTATATGTCATATTTTGAATAAAAACAAAATTTTATTTAATATTTTATATAAATATAGATATTGAATATTTTCTCCGTTCAATAAAAAATATTCGCTTTGTCTTATTTAGTTGTCCATGATAAATATTTTTGTGAATTTATTTCCGAATCATTTTGGATTTATCGAACAATACCTCGCATATAAAATACAAATCACTAATAGCCGAAGTCATTGATTCGAATAAAACCCAAATTAATACAAACCGTATTAAAATTGATCTAATTAAAGAAAGGCATAATTCAATAGTGGAATTGACAAATCAAATAACCAAACAAAAAGGCCTTAATTAATTGAATTGAATCAAAGCACAAACGACTCCCTGTTCGATGGAATGTGTTTCACCCAATCGCGCCGGAACAAATTGACGAAGACGACAAAATCGACGACAGCGGCACGTCGCGGCACAGCAGCAGATTGATACTCTGACAAACTCGATTAGCACCGGACAGAGATTGCCCCTCCTATATTCTCTTGCGAGAGGACAAATGACGTTCGGCTCAGACCATGGTACGTGGCGGAGCCAAAAAGTTCGGATCGGTGCTGAAGGAAAGGTAAGAGAGGAGGATCAAAAATGAAAAAAATAAATTTGTCTTAGCATATTTTAAATTTTATTAGGTTACTTATCTATGTTAAGCATTATATTTTGTCATTTTTAATCATTATACAATAATATAATCTAAGTTAAATATAATTATATAAAAATCTATTGTGTAATAAAAATGTATTTTATAAAAATTTAGTAAAAAATAAAAAGAAAATTATTATAGTTTTTTTTATTAAAAATGATAGAAAAAATATAGTTTAATGTAGAAAAAAAATAAAATTATTGTTGTACAGGTAGCACACACGAATGTGCTAGATAGTCGCTATGTATGCTTTTAATTACTTGGCATTGAGGTATTATTATATATAAATATCGGTGGAATGAACATCTTATTTACTTTATTTTGTTACTGTCCTTTCTCTCTCTTTCCACAAATATATATAATTACACATACATAGACTATCATACTTACATATATATATATACACACACACAGTAGCTTACACACATATATTCTATGTCTATAATATTGTTACGTACAAAAAATAATAATAATAGTAGCAGGATCTTAAAAGAAGTTAGGACACGAAGTCGGGTGGAAAAGGAGAAAATATGCACTCAGGTCGGTTGGTCCGCGGTCGGTTGATCCGGTCGGTTGGTCCGCAGTCGGATAAGCAGGTTGGAAGGTCCGCGGTCGGACAGGCAGGTTGAAAGGTCCGCGGTCGGATAGGCAGGTAGGTTGGTCCTCGGTCGGATAGGCAGGTCATAAAGTCCGTGTTCGGATAGGCAGGTCGGATGGTCTGCAGTCGGATCAGATGATTTGCAGTCGGTTGGTTCGCAGTCGGTTGGTCCGCCGTCGGTTGATCGGCCAATACGGAATTTGGACCAAGCGAAGGTCTGTTAATTAGTCGCCTAATTAAGTGAACAGTAGTTCAGTCGCTTGGTTGGGGCGACCATTGAATCGTCTGGAAAGACCAGAGGGTGGTCGCTTGATGGGGCGACCAATGAGTCATTTGGTCTAGCGACCAGTTAGTCTCTGGATTTGTCGGTTGGGTGATGCGGTCGGCGAGACGGTTGTCGTAACCGACCATACGACGTTTCAAAACGTTTCGTTGTGGGCGGTTGACGGCGGTTGCTGGCGACGGTTTTGAAACGTTTTCTTGAAGGAATATTTAAGGATTTGGATTTATTCTGGAAAGGCATCTTCAATCGACATCAAATTCAAAAGAATTGTCTTTGGGATCACCACTTTATTTTCCAATATGTAGTTTTATTTTCCTATTTTATTTATGTATCCTACAGTGTTTAGATCTCAGACACTAATTATATCAAATTCGAAGATAATTTCTTATTTTCGGATTTTACTTTTTATTGTTTAAAAATTGCATCAACAAATATAATATTTATATCTATATATTGGTGTATATATAATATATAAAATAGTATTAGTGGTATAAATAATCAATATTTCTATTAGCTAATCCTATAATCATATTACAACAATTATTATTATTATTACTTCTGTAAAAACTAATAATAATAATAAAATAATTTTCATTATAAATATATTATTAAAATTAAAAATTATTAATTCTAAATTCCTGCTGCTACAGCTGTATATGTCACCATCTTGTGTCACTAGAGTACTATTTATTTATTTTTCTTTTCTATTCTCTACTTTCTCTTCTTTTTTTTTTTTTTTTCTTCTCTTAGTTTTTTTTTTTTTTTTTATTTTTTTATTTTTTTATTTTACCTACGACTGTTAGGGTTTCCTCGTCTTTCTTGTTCTTCCCCATTCTCAAATTAGAAACTGTCTCAAACCCCCAAAACTTAACTACATAACAAACCTTCTCTATATGGATAAGTGATTGGGCTTGGGATATATGAATTTGGGCTTGGAATAAAAAGGTTAGGCCAATTCCGTAGAGTGAGCTACAAAATGGACCAACTAATTTATTACGGAGAGATTCGTTGGATTAAGCTTTAAAACTAACAAAATTTCCAAAACTATGTTCATTTTCCTTTTATCTATCTCTCACAAATAATATTCATACACTTCAATATATTTATATTAATACGGGCATTTTTGCCCTTTTAATCTAATACTAATTATTTTTACACTTATTTATAACTAAAATCTAAAAAAATAAATAGTCACATTTCTTCTAAACAAAAGGAGTAACACATATTAATCAGTGCGCACTTTCGGGTAGCGGCTGCGGTTCTATGTCAAAAAAAAAAAGAAAAAGAAAAAAAGTAACACAATTAAACATAGAAAAAACATGTAATTATTCATTCACATTTCATACATACATAGTTAATAGTATGTTATAAATATGTAAATCAAACTCATGCCCCATAATGCAGAACTTGAACATTGATCTCCACCGTGACTCTCCCCGCCCCCGCGTCGAAAAAGTACGTCTTCCAGGTGGAGATCCCTACGGCGAGCCGGAAAAATCCCGTGCCGCCCACCACTGGCAACTCCCGATATGCGTGCCGGTACGGATTGTGCCCTAAAACCGACAGCGTGCTGCCATTAAAGTCCCCATCGGTGAACACAAAAATCACGGCGAACACCAATGCCTCCTCCTCTTGCGACGCCGTGCCGTACAACCCTCTTGCGTACCCCACGCGCTTCGACAAGAACGCCGGTGTCACTGTTAGCGGAATGTCGGCCGCCATCCAAGCACCTATTACATTTTGTAAATTTTCAAAATTGTATATTATTACGATGAAGTTATTTATAATTTACCTGTAGTTTCAAAAGTCTGATCATACTTCTTCAATATTTAAAAATTACACGAGACTTTCTTCTATTTTAAAAAATATTATACAGAATCCTTAAAAGAATCCCTTACTAATTGAGATAGATTCTTTTGTATTTTTAAAATATTACACAGAATCTTTAACAAAAAAAAAATAGTTTGTGGAATATTTTGAAAATTATGAAAAAGTCCAGTAACGGTTTCTAAATTATAAGGGAAGAGTATGGTGCAGAATTTTCAAAGTTTACATAGGTTATAAACAATTTTGCATATTATTAATAACGAAAAATTGCAAAGAATATCCTTTAAGTACACCCCATTATCACTTTTGTCTTATATTTATCTAGCTAGAAAAATATCACACATGCAAAAATCGTTATTTATATCATTTGGCTACGGGTAGTCTGCGTGACCGGGAATGAATATCACGCTCGGCTAAATGATATAAATAACGACTTTTGCAAACATGTAGAATATATGTTTTATGCAATTTTCTCTTATTAATAATAAAATCATAATACCCTAATCTAAATAATGAATCAAAATATCTAAAATATTTCAACAATACCGAAGTACGTAGGCGATGATGCCGTCTCGTTGCCGTGGGCGATGACTACCGACGTGGAGTTCTTGCCGCCAAGCCGGCCCTGGAAATAGAACCGGAGTTTGGATAACTGGTCGGGCCGCCGGTGGGCCATTTTTCTGAACCAGGTATCGACTTCCTTGGGGCTTAGAGCATCATCCTTAATGGGGGCGGTAATAACGCCGGAGAAAGCGAAGCTGAGGATTCCGACGGCGGCGACGGTAATTAATGCGGTGGAGTTCTTCATTGTTTTGTTGTAATTAATCAATTTCTCTCGGAGTTTATACCGACGACGGCCGGGCTCTTGTTATATAGAAAATGCACGTTTGTTTTCTTTATATGTTAATTAAATGCCACGTGGAAGACGTACGTGGCACGTTACGTGGCACTCGAGTATGAATGCCAAAAATAGAAAGAGTCCAGCAGGCGGCACCGAATATATAAAATTTAAGGATATATTGGTTGTAGGTGGAGGTTGGGCTTCAAATTTGAATTTTATTGTTGTTTTGGTTTCATGGTTATTATGATATATATATATATATATAATATTTTTTCCATCGTAAAAATTTATGTTCATTTGGTTATGAGATTTAATAATATTTATTTTTTTACAGTAAAAAAATTGTTCAATAAATTTTTATTGAAAAAAAAAATATATATATTTTTATAACAATTCAAAAAGGTAGCATAAATTTAGATGAAATAAAAAATTTATTAAAATTATAAACAAATTTATATAGTATTTTGAATTTTTGTAACTTAACTAAAAAATAAATTAAAAAGGTTTATTGTGTGTTTGCTTTGTGATTTCTTTTATATTTTATAATTTTCATTTAAATAATATCCGATGTAATGTAATGTAAATAATGTGAGTTTGTATAGTAAATATACATTCTTAGGGATTTAAGCGCCTAAAGGTTCGATGAAATTGCAAAAGCAGATTGAAACACAATTAAAGCACAAACAAAATATTACAAAATACGAAAAGAACACAAGATTTACGTGGAAAATCCAAAACGGAAAAAAAACCACGACGATGAGGAATCCACTAGATGAATCGAATGTTTTCAATGTTACAAATCGGATGATTAACTTGTCTCAACCCCCAAAAATATTCCATTATCAATATCTATGCAAAATAAAAGTTTTTACCTTCTAACATGGAAGGTAAATCAAATCTATAAAAATCACCGATATATGGAAGGATGGAGATATGGAATCTTAGAAAATCACTCATTGATCACGCCCATGACTCTACTGATTTGGTGCCAAGTCAACCTTGCCATCTTGGTCACGCCTGTGATTAAAGCCTTCAAAATCTTCTGATTTGGCAAGATATATAAAATCAAATCTAGAACAGGAAAGTCCGCCTAGTCACGTCCATGACTAAGGCTGCCGGAAACTTTTGGAAATCTTGGCTTGAAGAGAATTTGAGACACAATCCCAACAAACTCCACCTTGCCACAAATTCGATTTAAAAAATAAACCTCCTTATCACCAAGTTCCCGATGGGACACTCAACAACTATTAAGATTAACCAAGTCCAAACAATATTGGAACTTGGCAACGGCAAGTGGCTTAGTTAACATATCAGCGGGGTTCTCGCACTTATGAATTTTGTCCACTACAACTTTACCTTTTAAGACCGTATCTCGAATAAAATGGTGCTTCACAGAAATATGTTTGGTCCTTTCATGATACCGATTATTTTTCGTCAAATGTATTGCACTTTGGCTATCACAAAATATAGTAAGAACCTTTTGCTCGTAATCAAGCTCCATAACAAGACCTCTTAGCCAAATCGCCTCTTTAACTCCTTCGGTACCTGCTATATATTCCGCCTCGGTGGTCGATAAAGCGGTAACCGACTGAAGTGAAGATTTCCATGAAATAGAATAACCACATAAAGTGAAAATATATCCCGAAAGAGAACATTTGCGATCAAGGTCTCCACCAGCCAAAGTCCAATCCTCTAATGTGCCGGGTGTTCCGACTCCTAACTACCTTCTATTCAAGATGCGATGTACCTTTCAAGTATCGCAAAATTCACTTAACAACATTCCAATGAGCCTTTCCCGGATTGTGCATATAACGGCTCACAACACTCACGGCATGCGCCAGATCCGGCCTAGTGCAAACCATTGCATACATTAGGCTACCAACTGTATTTGAGTACGGAATTTTCACCATGTCCTCAACTTCATCTTCATAGCAAGGACTCAAGTTTTCGCACAATCTGAAATGCGCAGCCAAGGGAGTAGATACAGCTTTGCAAGATCGCATATTAAATCGATCGAGTACCTTCTCCACATACTTTCTTTGGGACAAAAATAACTTTCCACCTTTTCGATCTCTAATTATTTCCATCGCAAGAATTTTCTTCGCAATGCCCAGCTCTTTCATATCAAACTCATTACTAAGCTGCGATTTCAACTTAACAGTACAAGACATGTTACGTGAGGCAATCAACATGTCATCGACATAAAGCAACAAGTATAAAAATGAACCGTAAGAGTACTTCTGAAAATAAATACAGTCGTCATAGTTGCTGCAAGAATAACCTTGCCCAATCATAAATGAATCAAACCTTTTGTACCCTTGCCGCGGGGCTTGCTTCAATCCATAAAGCGATTTCTTTACCAAATTTTCCTTTCCGGAAATGACGAAGCCCTCAGACTGCTCCATGTAGATTTTTTCCTCAAGGTCACAATGAAGAAAGGCCGTCTTTACATCAAGTTGCTCCAATTCCAAATCAAACATAGCAACAGTACCGAGCAAAACATGAATAGAAGTATGTCGAACAACAGGAGAGAAAATTTCAGTAAAGTCTATACCTTCACGCTGACTGAATCCTTTGACGACTAGCCGTGCTTTGCAACGAGACTCTTCAGCCCCCGAAATGCTTTTTTTTTTTCTTGAATATCCACTTACAACGTAGTGGACGCCTACCCTTTTGAAGTTCAACAAGATCCCAACTCTCATTCTTGTAGAGACTTTGAATTTCCTCTTTCATTGCCATAAACCATTTAGGAGATTCGGCACAAGAAGTTGCTTCATCATAATTTTTCGGTTCACCGACATCACCGAATTATTGTGCCACGGACAGAGTATATGCCACCGCATAATCCTCTAAAAATCTGGAATGAGGATGAATTTGTCTCCTCGGACAATCTCTGGCAATTGAGTATGTATCATGTCTCACCGGAGCATTCAATGTGGTACTCGAACTAGATTCATCAACTTGCAGGTCAGAAGAGTTAGAAACATCAGCAGTGGGTCGGAACATCATTGGTAACTCCACCTTCTCTCCAGATTGCTGTTGGTCATTTGACAAGGATTTCGAACCTGCAGCTGAACTATTTCCAGAAGACAACATAGATTTTTTGTCAAAAGTAACATCTCAACTCAAAACTACATTGCGTGATTTATCATCCGCGTTCCATAAATGATATCCTTTCGACTAAGTTGAATATCCAAGGAAAATACACTTCAAATCTCTCGGAGCTAATTTTCCTTCGTCAACATGCATGTACGCGTGACATCCAAAAATACACAAAGAGGAATATTCGACTGGGTTACCTGACCATATTTCTTTTGGGATTTTAAAGTCAATAGCGGAGTGTGGAGATCTATTTACCAAATACACAACTTTGAAACAACTTCAGCCCACAAATCACGCCGATTCCATAATCCTGCATTCGAAAGCATACACCGAGCTCTCTCCACTAAAGTCCGATTGACTCGTTCTGCGACGCCATTTTGTTGGGGCTTTCTCGGCAAGGTCTTATGCCTCATAATACCATGCGATGCGCAATATTCATTGATTCACCACTGCAAAATTCTAAGCCATGGTAAGTTCTAAGAAATTTTTCTTTCTCACCCGTAAGATTCTTCACAAAAGCTTTCCACTTCTTGAAAGTGTCGAAAGCTTCATCCTTCCGCCTCAAGAAATACACCCAAATTTTCCGGAAAAAATTATCAATCAATGTCATAAGGTATCTTTTCCCGGTAAATGATGGAACCTTTGATAGTCCCCACAAGTCGGAGTGAATATAATCGAGCACGCCATGTGTACGATGAGAGGTAATGGAGAAACCGACCTTCTTTTGCTTTCCGAAAATGTAGTGTTCACAAAATTCTAAATTTTTTATTCCTTGATCACCAAGAAGACCTCGAGAGCTTAACATCTTCATTCATTTTTCACTTATATGGCCCAAAATCAAATGCCATAATCGAGTGAAATCTGAATCATTCATTGATGAAGCCGCTGCCGCCGAACCCAATACGGTATGACCTTGTAGGACGTATAAACATCCAACCCGATTCGCATTCATAATTGTTCTAGATCCTGTAGACACCTTCAAAATTCCACCTGTAGCTGAGAACTTATAACCAAGCGAGTCCAAAGTTCCAAGAGATATCAAATTCCTTTTGACATTAGGAGCGTATCGAACGTTCGTAAGAGTACGAACACAACCGTCGTGAGTCTTTATTTGAACTAAACCAATGCCAAGGACAGAGTATTGGGCATCATTCTCCATCAATACTACACCACCATTCTTTGATTCGAATGTAGTAAACCAGTCCCGATTGGGACAAAGATGGAATGTGCATCCGGAGTCCAAAATCCACTCGTTCTTAATGTGAGTTTCCGATGCCGCTGTCAAAACTGGATCGCCGTCTGAATCGGGATGCACGGCATCAACTTGTGTTGCCTCTACAGGTTTTTTTCCTTTCTCGAACCCTTCATTCTTTTTTTTCAACTTCCAGCATTCGGAAATAACATGGTCATACTTCTTGCAATAATTGCAACTCTTATGCGCATTCGATCCCCTCGACTTAGACCGAGATTTTTTCTTGCCTCAATTAGCTTTAAACATAGACCTTCTCCTCACAAACAAACCTTCATCGTTGTCATTTAATTGGCCACCAAAATCAGTTTTTTTTCTTTTGAAAACAAATTTGATTTAACTTCATCAAATCAAAGAGTTTCTTGAGAACCATAAAGCATTATTTCTCAAAAATGCTTGTAGGAAGGAGGTAACGAGACAATCAACAACACGGCTTTATCTTCATCATCAATTGTAACATCCAAAATTTCCAAATCCATGAGGATTGTATTAAATTCATTGAGATAAGATTGGATCGGAGTACCTTCGGGCATTCGAATTGTATAAAGGCGTTTCTTCAAATGAAGTTTGTTGGCGAGAGACTTCGTCATATACTGTGTCTCTAGCCTCAACCACAGCCCTCGTGCGGTAGTCTCATGAGCAACCTCACGCAGGACTTCTTTCGACAACATAAGTTGTATTGCAGTCAATGCCTTCTCATCCAATTCAGCCCAAGTATTGTCATTCACCCCTGCACTCTCCTGTCCATCCAATGCCTTCTTCAATCTGTTCTGAACTAAAATCGCCTGCATCTGAATTTTCCAAATAGCAAACAAAATCTTGCCATCAAACTTCTCAATTTCGAATTATGCAATCGACATCTTTAACCGTTGAATGCTCTGATACCACTTGTTAGGGATTAAGTGCCTAAAGGTGTGATGAAATTGGGAAAGTGGATCCAAACACAATTGAAGCACAAACAAAATATGACAAAATACGAAAAGAACACAAGATTTACGTGGAAAACCCAAAACGGGAAAAAACCACGGACAATGAGGAACCCACTAGATGAATCGACTGTTTTCAATGTTACAAATCGAATGATTAACTTGTCTCAACCCCCAAAAACATCCCCTTATCAATATCTGTGCAAAAAGGAAGTTTTGACCTTCTAACATGGAAGGTAAATCAAATTGATAGAAATCACCAATATAGGGAAGGATGGAGATATGGAATCTTAGGAAATCACTCATTGATCACGCCCATGACAAAAATATCATATGACTATGGTTTGTTTCTAATTTTTTTTTTTTTTTAAATAATATTCAGTCTGTTCACTTGGTGTTTTTAAATAAATTAATTTTTTATGTATGGTACGGAGAACTGTGTTGATAATATAAAAATAATATTTTATATTGAACAATTGACTTTTAATAAGTGGATAATGTATATATTATATTAATGTATGTATATTTATATTTTTAAATAATATTCGTAAAAACTTATTCCATTAAAAAATACTGAGTGAACATACATATTATTTTAGATATACTGAGTTGCATTGATATTATTTATAAGAAATGAATGAAAAAATAGATATATTTGACGACTACTTTTTTCTTGGATGATGGGAATGTATAATATGAAAAGAATCTATATGTTTTAAATAGATCATCTTGAGTATTCTAATTATATCTTTTTTTAATTTTTTTAATAAATTAATATATATATATATTAATTACTCATCATTAATACTTAAAAATTAATTAAGTTACACTTATCATATAGTAAAATAGTGTGAGTCTGTTTCCTATATTCTTTCGTCAATTTTTTTAATATTTTTATTAAAAAATTGGATAAATTTTATTAATAATAGTTATATGGATAAAAAAAAAAACGTGATTTAAGAAAGTCATTAAAATTATATTAGTCTACACCATTGAAAGTAAATAGTTCTAAAAAATTCACTATTGCAAGTAAATGCTACGTGATAAGAGACAATAATCACTTTAGTGATATGGAATCTTCTAACGCAAAACCCACATCGAAGAGTTCCTTTTCCGTCATGGAATAGTTTAATTAGGTTTCATTAAGTGCCTCAAATGCATAGTAGATTACAAAGGGTGTCTTGCTATCTCATTGCTCAAGTACTGTTCCTACGACTTTGACACTGGCATCACACATTAATTCAAATAGGAGTCTCTAATTCGGTGGTTGGATGAAAGGTGGAGTGGTGAAAAGGTTATTGATTTGATCAAAAGCTAGCTTGCTACTCTCATTGAATTCGAACAGGACATTTTTTTGCAAAAGTTTGAACAATCGACTCGCCATCTTAAATTTTTTTTGATGAATTGATGGTAAAATATTGCATGACTAAGGAAAGTGCGCAATTCCCTCACCGAAATGTGGTAGGGTAAGAAAGAAATAATGTCTATCTTAGGTTTATTGACCTCTATCCTTTTCGAAGAAACTAAATGATCAATGACAATTCCATCTTCAATAATAAACTGACATTTTATTTTATTTTATTTTATTTTGAGAAGCAATCTCGTTTCAATCCATCTTTGTGAAAATCAAAGTTAAATTCTCAAGACATGCATCAAAACTGTCGCATGCATACTAAAATCATCCATAAACACTTCAATTATTTGACCAATATACTTTGAGAAAAATGCTTACTATATACCATTGAAACTTTGTTGGGAGTGTTACATAATCCAAAAGACATTCATTTCTATGAGAAGGTGCTAAAGCCTAAAGGGGCATGTAAACATTATGTTCTCTTGATCCTCCTGTGCTATGACAATATGAAAGTAACTTGAAAAAATCCATCTGAAAAAAATAGTGATATATTCGAACTAATCACTCAACCATTTGATCAATAAAAGGTAAAGGAAAATGGCCTTTTTTTTGTAATACTGTTCAACTTATGGTAGTCGATACGTTAGCGCCATCCAATTTGATTTCCAATAGGAATTAACTTACCATCATTGCCAGCTTCAACCATAACTCCTGATTTTTAGAAACTACATGAATTAGATTTATCCATTGACTATCCGCAATAGCATAGATAATCTCAACATCTAGTAACTTCAAAATTTCTTTCTTCACCATGTCTATCATCATAGGGTTCAATCATCATTGAGGTTGCCTTTCTGACTTTACATTCTCCTCCAAGACAATTTGATGTGTACAAAGAAAGAGGTTGATACCCTTTATGTTAGCTATGGTCCAACCAATAGATTTTTATGTTCCCTTAGTATGCAAATCAATCGTTCTTTTTTATTCAGGAAGAGAGAAACTAATATGATAACATGCAAGGTTTTCTTTCTTCTTAATAAGCATATTTTAGCTTATCAGGAAGCAACTTCATCGCTAAACCCGGGGTCTACTTAATAGAATACACTATTTTTTTTTTTAGATTTGGCCAAAGTAATGTTGCATGTTCAAGTCTAAGTGTCCTAAATTCGAAAGACTGCAGGGTGTGCACTACTTATCTCAGACTGGAATTCACCAATTTATTTGCACTAAATTGTGAATCGATGTAGTATACCAAAGCAACCTCCAAAGCTTCCCCTCCACTCAATTCAAAAATTTCCTACGCACTTTCATCAATGATATCCACTCCATACAAGGTGTTAGTTTCTTCAGAATATTTCATAGCATAAAATTATTAAAGTTCACTTTCTCACCATCAAATTCATTAAAAGTATACCTTATTTCACATCAGTTTTAGTTTGTATGGTGCACATGATGTTCTACTAAGTAAAATCGGTGAAAGATTTGAAGGGTTATTATTATGCATATCAACCACATAAAAATTAACTGGTAAAATCATTTTGTTAACCCGTACTAGGATATCTCTAATCAATCCTTCAGAGTAAGCAATGGGAACACTATCATGATGAATTCATCAATGGTTACCGACAACAAGTGAATATTTTTCGAACTGAAAATAGTCGATTTCCCAAGTACAAATAACTAGGACATAATACTCGTTACCGATACGTGCTCCAGATACAAACACCGACATTTAAGGTATGAATGATAGTTATTTAGGTATTATCTATGCAGTAGCAGATATTGTTGGATGTAGTTAATTTCATTCAATCCTCTGACATATGAGCCAATTTATGAACTCGATGAAAGTACTTTCTCTCTCAGCTCCAATGGAAAAGTTTGGGCACGGTACATTTACATTCAACAACTCATGCCATGTTTTTCAATAAGAAGACCACAAAACATGTATGAATACCAACCAACATAATTTAACTAAGTCTTTTATGTCTTGTTTATCCATCCATAGTAAATATGTGTTGTTTACCTTTCTATATAGTTATAGGATTCACGAGAATACTATAATGATGACTTTATCTATAGTTACCGACAACAATTGAATATTTCGAATTGAGAATGATCGGTACACAAACACAAGTTACCAGAGCATAGATACTCGTTATCGGAGCATATGAGATCGTATTATAGGTACGTAAACCTTCACAGTATATGTATATATTTTTATTTCTTAGTGCAACACTAATGTACTCAGGTATCCGTGAATGCACTTCTGTTCATTG